CGGACGCGCAGGCTCAGCGGCCATGGCTCACGGGCCCAGCCGCTCTGCGCGTCCGGAGCCTGTGCTCCACAACGGGAGAGGCCACAACAGTGAGAGGCCCGCGTACCGCAAAAAAAAAAAAAAAAAAAGATGGCCTGGGAGGCCTTGACTGACAAGAAGGGAGGAGCCTTGGAGGAGGAGAGAGAGGGACCCATTCAGATTTTAGGGGGTGGAACAGGGGATGAAGAACAAGAGATGGCTGAGGAAAGGCAAGGTGTTGAAAATCCTATCGTGTCTTGTAGGCCAACACAAGGACTCTGAATGAGACGGGGAGCAAAGGAGTAACAAAGTCTGACTTACAGTTTACAGCATCTCTCTGGCTGCTGTGATGAAAATAGTCTGTCGGGAGACAAGGGAGGAAGCAGGAAGGTCAGTTAAAAGGCCAGTGGTAGCTTAAACCAGGGTGAAAGTGGTGAAGATGGTGAGAGTCAGGTTCTGGATACATTTAAGGCAAAGACAACAGGATCTATTGATTAAGTGGAGGTGGGATTAAAAGGGAGGAGTCAGGGATGATATTAGAGTTTTGGGGGCCTGAGCAACTGGAAGGATGAAATCACCATTGGCTGACTTTGGGAGGACAGGGGGTGGGGTGGGCCTTCCTTCTGTTTTGGAAATGTTAAACTGAGAAGCCTTTTAGACATTAGGTGTGTTGAGCAGGCAGCAAAATATACAAGGCTGGAGTTGGAGAAACTGGGCTGAAATTATACATGTGGGAGTCACCAGCATATATAATAATACAAAATTGTATGTATTATCATACAGAATTTCTATGTATGATCACACACACTTTGTATGTTTACTGTCTGCGCCCCCCAAAACTATAAGCTCCATGTGGCTAAGGACCCTCTGTCTGTTCACAGCCAGCAACGTGCCTGGCACTCAGTAAATATTTACTGAGCAAATGGAGAAGTTGCCCAATTACTCCCTCAAGAATAGCCACAGCAGCCCACACAATGAGAAGTAGGCTCTCTTGCAACCACAGAGCCAAGCCCAGCCAGCCCAAAACAGGGCCCTGGGTCTGTCCACCCCGAGCTTGAGATTCCAGAACGTAAGTGGATATGCTTGGCACATCACAGATAGTTGGGTTTCAGCCCTGCCACATTCTCAAAGGGTGGAACTGGGCAAGACACCTGCCTGTTCTACCACCTCTATTTCTCCCCGGGATGGGCCTGGGAGGGGCTGCCTCACCCACTTCATGGGCAGAGATATCAGATCTATCCAGGGTATATGCATGGGTTGGTGGGAGCCCCCCAAAGGAGTAATTCCCCACGTATTCTCTGGAGCATGCAAAGACCACCCAGCACCTGAAGGGGAGAACTCAGACCTACTGAGAATGTATTAAGAGTAATAGGTTAAAAAAAAAGAGTGACAACTACAAATCTTGATGAGATGAGAGTACCGCCTAATCCTTCTAGCTCTTGGAAGACTCCCTGACCGGTAGGCCTTGTGTCTCTGCTTCACCCATCAAGTGACTAGGAAGACAGAACAAAGGCCAAAGAGTGACATAAGAATGCATAAGATTTCAGCTCATTAACTTTCCAGTGTAGAACAGCTGCCTTTGTGAAGATGGTAAAAACAGCTCTAATGATCTGGTATAGCCCCCTCCCTTTCTGAGATATTGCAAGTGTGACCCAGAGAGGGTTAATGACTTGCCCAGGGTTACCCAGCTGCAGGCCTAGACCTAGAAGTCAGGTTTTAGCTCTCTGTTGAGGGTTTCTTCCCACTACGGCAGTGGCGAAGGAAAGATAAGAGTTATGGTGGGAGGCAGGGGGAGTTTTAGGCATTAGTCTTACAACATGAAACTATGTCCTTGTCAAAGGGTAAACTGCAGATGTCACAGGAATGCCAGGTGCACGCTGTGAAGTTAAGAAAGAGTCCGTCCCGGGCTTCCCTGGTGGCGCAGTGGTTAAGAATCCGTCTGCCAATGCAGGGGACATGGGTTCGAGCCCTGGTCCAGGAAGATCCCACATGTCGTGGAGCAACTAAGCCCGAGTGCCACAAATACTAAGCCTGTGCTCTAGAGCCCGTGAGACACAACTACTGAGCCTGCGTGCTGCAACTACTGAAGCCCGTGTGCCTAGAGCCTGTGCTCCGCAACAAGAGAAGCCACCGCAATGAGAAGCCTGTGCACTGCAACGAAGAGCAGCCCCCACTCACTGCAACCAGAGAAAGCCCGCGTGCAGCCACGAAGACCCAACACAGCCAAAAATAAATAAATAAATAAATTACTTAAAAGGAAAAAAAAGAGAGAGTCCGTCCCTTATACCAAACTTGTCATCCTCCAGAGTTCCCCTTGGCTTTGGACTGTATGAATAAAGCTATTCATAGTAGGACCCACAGAAGTGAAATAAAGATACACTAACAGATTTTTTTTTAAATGCAGATAAATACCTCAGTAAAACATTTAGGTGAAAATTTTATTTATTTATTTAATTTATTTTTAATTTTTTTTTTTTTTTTGGCTGCGCCACATGGCTTGTGGAATCTTAGTTCCCCAACAGGGACTGAACCCAGGCCACGGCAGGGAAAGAGCCAAGTCCTAATCACTGGACTGCCAGGGAATTCCCGTGTAAGCCTTCTAAAATCAACAAATATTGAGTCCTTCCTCTGTACAAATCATTGTGATAAGCGCCTAGTGTGTGTGTGTGTGTGTATGACTATATGAATGAGTGAGACAGAGAGACAGACACACACACACAAACACACACATACACACACACACACTCACACAAGGTCTTCAAGGCTTGCAGTGCAGTTGCTGATATGACTGTAACATCAAAGAAATGACTAATAATATGGAGTAGATAATTAATTGTTAAGTAAGTGGTATAATGGGACTGCAGGAGTTCTCACAAAGAGCAATCATGTTTGCTGGGGGGTGGGGGGGACTTGTCAGGCAAGGTGCTTCCAGAAAGATAAGGGATTTGAGGTGGACCTTGAAGAGAAGAAAGGCTCTTGATAAGAAGGGGGAAAGGGCATGAGCAAACACGGGTGACATTAATGTCAAAGAAGAGAAAGAAATCACGCCTTAAAAGGTAGGACTGGACCAGACTTGAACAGCCTTGAAAGTTAAAGTTCTTGTAGGAGTGGGAGGGGCAGAAAGATTTCTGAACCTAGAACTTACAGGGTTCAGAACAGGTTAATTTAACAAATGCCTTCTGGGACACTACCATGTGCAGGCACTGGATGAATAACTGAAGATGTATTTGCCTTTGGTGGGGAACTAACTTCAGTCTGGGAGATGAGGTGGCCTTGAGGTGACAAGGGGCAGGTTTGTAAGACCTGCTGAAGGAAGAACCAGCACGGCCCAGAGAATGACTCCTCCAGGACATGGAGACAAAGACAGCAGAGAGAATTCTTCAAAGTATAAATTTAGGCAGCTGGAAGAACGGAAGAGTAAAGGGAAGCTAGTTGAGGAGGAGAGATGCAGAGCTGGTTTTAGAACTGTTGAACCTAAGGTTAACTACATCTGTGTCTAGTGGGCATTTAGATATATGAGTCTGGGGTTGGAGAGACAATAGTTGAAGATACAGCATAGGGGCCTTCCCAACGGACGAGTTGGGGGGCTGAGTAAGATTCCTCTGGGAGGGAGCACGATGAGAGAAACAAACGGAATGTCAGACTGAACCATGGGCGTCCCACACTAGGAGGTAATGGCGGGCGGGAGTGATCAGAGAAAAAAACAATGCCAAGGAGGGAAAAGTTGGGGGAGGTGTTGGAGTTTCAAATGGGAGAGGGTTGTCAACAATAAAAAATGCTACAAATCAACTATGTGGGCTGAGCACATAAATAATAAGTATTTGTTGAATAAGTGAATGAATGAAAGGAAGAAAGCCTTTGTATTTGAGAATCAACTTTCCTCAGTCAGAAGAATGGCCAGGGTTGCCCTCAGACAAGAGGACTTCAACGCTAAATTTTACATCGTCCTCCCTATAAACACGTGTTGCTTCTTGCACAAGTCATCCTGTCCACCACACAGACATCCTTCCCTGCTTCCCCCATGTTTCCCCTCATCTTCCGTCCCAGTTTCCGGAACTCAAGCAACACAAACCTTCGGTGTCAAAGGAGACAGGAAACTCCAACTAGAGTTTCTACTTCATTAACAACTCTGCCTGTGGCTCCTCTTACATAAAGGGATATGTGGCAATTGAGTGGAACAGCAGACTGCATTCTAGCCCCAGCTGTACTACTGACTAGCTGTGTGGCTGGGGACAAGCTGCTCAACCTCTCTGGAGCTGGGCTTTTCATAGACAAGAGGAGGTAGGTCTATCTGGACTCTAGACAAGTTTCGAAGGTCTCTTTCAGCTCTAAAGTCTGCGATTTTATCATTCTCAGAAGGCCCTCGCAACACCCTCAGAGAAGGAAGTGAAGTGAGTACAAGACCCGGGGAAACGACCGCCAGACCTCTTACCCAGGCGAAGCGCCAGGATAGGAGGAGTGTACCCAGAAAGTGAGAAGGAGCTGCCGGCCCTCGCGGATCACCAGGGAGCAGATCCCATTCCCAAGGCTGGGAATGATCCCAACAACCCGAGTGCGATTCCCACCCCGCACCCCACCTTTCCTAGACTCTCAGACGACCGGGAGGCTCTAAAAAGCCCTGCGGGAAAAATAAAGATTTCTTTCCCAGAGTCCTGCGCTGCTTTTGCAAGTCGGATTCCGGCAGACACGATCTGCAGCCCGATAATGACAGTCTTTGGAAGGAGCGACTGTTCTCGTTTCGCTCGCTCCGAGTTCTGGGGACGCCTGGCCGCCCGCGCCGTGCCCCGACGGGCGGGCGTCCGACCCCGGCACCGCCGACGGGCCAGCGGCGCCCCCGCCCGGGGCTCTCCTCCCCGCCGCCGGCCCAGCTGCGGTCTGCAAACATTTCCTGCCCCCGCCCCCACCCCCACCCGGAGCTTCCCAGTTGGAGCGAGTTGGGCTGGCAGCCGGGTCAGCGCTCGCGGTTGCCCCAACTCGGCTCCCCCGGCCCGCGGGGCTGGGCAGGGGGACCCCGTCTGGCTCCGGAGCAGCCATCGGGGAAACCCAGGCGCCAGGAGCCGTGGGAGGTCGCTCGGGAAGCCCAAGTCTCGGGCAAGAAGGAGGACAACTGGCGGGGCGCCGACGACCCTGCTCCCTTCCCTGTCGTTACCTGCTCGCTTGCGGGGGTGTCCTGGGGCGGTCGGCCTCTCCCGGCGCTGTCTCCCCACGCAGTTGCCCATGCTGGCTCCTCAGCCGGGCCCCATGCACCGGAGGCGGCAGGGTGGTCGGCTGCTCCGCGCTCCTGCCCCGGAACGGCGGCGTCCCGGGTCAACGGCTCCTGCCGCCCGGCATCCGGCGCTCCCCAATCTCCCCCGGGGGCGTGCTCTACCCCTGCACCGGCTTCGCCACAAACTTTGCGGGCGAGGGGAGAGAGGGAAGTGGCCGACTACCCAGCACAGTCCCAGGTGGCCGGGCCAGGGGGGCCCGCGACGGTGCCCGGCCGGAGACCAGCTCCGCTGGAGGGGCGGAGAGAGGGGGCGGGCACCGCCGCAGCTACTCCCGGTTCGCTCGGGGCTCCCAGCTGGGGCCGGCCCCCCGGAGCCTGTCACTCACCTGCCTAACCCCGCCCCAGCCCGGCCCCGCTCCCTGCCATCCGCTCTCGGTGCCCGCGCCGGCGGCACCGCCCCCCCAGGTGCGCATGTGACCGACGACACCGCCCCCTTGGGCTGGCCTTGTTTTCTCATTGGCTTCCCCCAGGGTGCGTACCGCCCCTCGGCCCCACCCAGCCAGGTGCCCGCCCCACCGCCCGTCTCCCAGGGAGCTGGGCTGGGAATTATTCGCCCTCAAAGGCCCCCGGCTGCGTGCCCATCAGCCGCCCTCCCTCCCTGAGCCACCGCCCCGACTCCAGGCCCCGCCCCTTGGGGAGGGACCGTCCCATCCCTCCCTGGAACTGCCGGGCCTGGAGCCGGCAGGCACGTAATCCAGAGAGCGCCCCGCCCCCTCATCTTTCGCCACGCAATTGGCTCAGGAGGCGCGTGCGCGGAGAGGCCCGTCCCGTGCCACCTCCCACTTCCCCTCCCACGGTTTCCAGTTCGCGTCATGGCCGCCGCCGCCGCCGCCGCCGCTCTAGAGGCGGTGGCGCCTACGGGCGCGCTGTGGGGCCTCGTGCAAGACTTCGTCATGGGTCAGCAGGAGGGCCCCGCTGACCAAGTGGCTGCAGGTACGGCCGACGGCGCCGCACGGCTTCCGCTTGGGGGCCTCCAGGAGGGAGCGGCCTCAGCACAGGCGCCGGGAGGGAAGGGAGTGAGGGACAGCGGTGACTTCGAGAGATTAGTCCGGGGCTGGTTGTGAGCACCGCGTGCTTAAGAGCCATAACAAATTGCGAGTCGCTTGCAGTCTTCCTTAAAGCGCCCTTACGCGCCTTGTCTCGGTTTATAGACATTCTGTGCGCCGGCCGGGGTTAGGAGATTAATTACCATTTCACAGATGAGGAAACAGGCCCAGCGAGGGCAAGAGACTCTCAGATCAGGCCGGTGGGGGAGCTGGGACTCGGACCCAGTTCCTGCAGTTCAGAATCACGGGCTCACGCCGCAAAAGCCCGTTGTTTCTAGGAAGTTGACGTGACAAGAAGCATCTTCAGCGGCATCAGCTCCAGTCGCGTGGCATGCTGGGAGTGGCCGGGCGGCCGGATATCTGACTGGCTGTAGTTGGAGAGAGGAGGAGAGAAACCAGTCTAGAGGGAGTTTGAGAAGTTCTGCGTATCTTCCTTAAGGTTTTCCCTCCGTTTCTTGGTAAAGTTCTTGATTAATTTGCTTTGTGACTTTTTAACGTGGAGTTTGTTTTTATCTTTTCCCCAGAACTCCACTTTCCTGCTTTTGATCAGTTTAGGGATCTCTTAGCTCTGACAGCTTATCTAAGATTTGAATAAAACAAATTACAGATTTCATTGGAATTCTGAGACTTTTCACTCTTTTAGAAAAAAAAATCTAAAAAGTTATTGAATGTTAGGAGGCCTTCAGACCTTGTGTTTAAGTAATAGAATGCAAAATAATCTTGTCAGCACAGATGCTTTTTGTCTCTATTTTTGGAAATTTTGCGTGTTTGGGGAGAAGTAAAGGATACATTTCTCTTGAAAATTGAACATATTCACTATTAGAATATGTGAGAAATGAATAATGTGAATCTGCCAGAAGTATAATACTTTGATCCTTAGCAATATTTCAATTGAATTTAATCCTTCCACCATTATTGAACACATTATTCTTGAAACACGATGCAAAGTAATAGGGATATAAATACAAATTACGCTAGATCTGTGCCTGCCAGGGACTTATAATATAGTGGGAGAGACTGCCATGCAAACGGATAGTACACCATGAAAAGGGCTGTAAGAGGTATGTGCAGGGTGACATGGAAGCATCAAGGAGCAAATAAATGCCTGATGTAGCCTTTCCACTAAGTTAACTTCTTACAGCTTTGTGCAGTATAGTGTGTCGTCAGTGCTTATGATTAACAACGACAGTGTATTATCAATGTCATTTTCCCCCATGTTTTATTATGAAAATTTTCAAACATACAGCAAAGTCTAAGTAATTTTTTCATAAGAAAAACACACATACACCCACCACCTAGATTCTACCATTAACATTTTAATATAATTTGCTTTATCATGTATCTATCTGTCATTTAAATTGCAGATAGCAGTACACTTCCCTCTAACTGCTTTGGTATGTATGTCATTGACTAGGGTTTGTTTATAGTTTAATACAAATTTTGGTGTAAAATTTGTATTCAATGAAGTGTACAAATCTTAAGCATACATTCACTGATTTTGAAAAATGCTTATACCTACCCACTATCAAGATAAAGAACATTACTATAAAAAGTGTTATTTGTAACTTTTTTCACATTTATACATTATGAACACAGTAATTTAGGGTTCTTCAAATTCAGAACACACTTGAGAAGTCAGCATGAATAAAGACCGCCAAGTTCTTATAAATATTTTTGTAGAATTTATATTTTTTGAAAAAGAAAGTGGCCTAAACTGTTGTCTAGTTTAAATTTAGCTCAGCTAAGACTGTAACACTAGCCCTGTTGTAATTTAGCTCTCCTGATTAGGAAAGGAGGTTGGTAATAACAGATAACTAACAGAGGGGTAGTAACAGATAAGGTTGAAAAGGTTTGGTGGGGTTGGATGATGCCTAACCTTGGATTCTAAACAGAGGGATTTAAATGACCTATTGTAGGTAATTGGGATCAATGTAGATCCTTGAGCAAGGGAGTCATATAGTGAAGATGAATTTGAGAAGGATTAAATCGGTATTCTCAGTCTTAGATCACAGCCTTAGTTAGGGTTGTTGAAGGCTGACAGAGTTTTAAAGCATCCCCAGAATAAGATGTGCTTTCTAATCCTCCAGCCTAAATCAAGCTTTGTTAGTGCTGAAGGGACCAGCTTTCTATTCGGCCACTCATAGCCGCATCCTCTCCTACAAATTGTAACTGCAGAAGGAACGTCCTGTGATCACAAAGGCAGCTACCACCAACTTTGTTTTGCACCTGGGTTCCTGATGAGAGTAGGTGTCAGATGTAAAGGTGCAAATGATGGAAGAGAAATGACCTGGCAGCCTAAGGGTTAAAGGCTGCTCAGCCAGGCATTCAATGGCTACCACTCCCCTCCTGGATCTTTAGTTCCAGGCAGCCAGTTGATTTGCTGCTCCCCTGATTGCTTTGCTTCCCAGATCCCTCCATTGGCTCCATCTAATTAAAGTTAGGCCTGGGATTAAAGGCCCAGTTTGAGTGCTCACTGCCTGCCCCCAAGTGTCTCCTGATTACTCCAGCCAGACATCATCTCACAGTTCAGAATCTTTGTGGTACTTATTTCTCAACCACTCATACTTACTTGCAGACTGTTTAGTAGCTACTTCTGTATACATCTCTGCATCCTACCTGCCTGTTTCTACCACCATAGTCTCCTGGAGACTAGCATAAGTAGGTGGTATAAATGAATGGAATAAAAGATGCTGAAGGAAGAATCTGGAATTTGAGGGCTAATTAGTTATAGGGCTTGGAGGAGAGGGAGGACTCTAAGATGACCTCAAGCTTTTGAGCCTGAAGATGAGCAAAAGAAAAGTACTATGTCCAAAAATTGGGAAGGGAGCTGATTTTGAACATGTTGGATTTATAGGTGATGGATATAAATTTTCTTCCTCTTGGTTATTTGGATTTGCCTTCATTTCAGTCTTTATTGTATTTTCCTACATTTGTAATTCCATGAGGAGACCACTATTCTTGAAACCAGAAAACTGTTAAAGAAAAGTAAAATATAGTTCTGAGAAATGTCTGTGGCATTCTCAGCAGAAAGGGCATTTTGAGAGCTTGATTGGAACTGAGTCCTGATTGGGAATTTTCTCTCTCCTGTTCCTTCACATCCTCCCCCCTCTCCCCTTCCCCCTTGGCTGCTACTCCAGATTCTCAAGAGGCTGCAACTCCATCAGACAGAGGTCTGATTGTGCCTTCTATGTCAGTGCTCATATAAATACTCCTTTGACGACTCCTCAGTGCCCCACACGGACTGGTGCCCTGCTGAGGAAAGAGTGGGTATTTAGCAGGTGCTAGTAGGTCCATTTTTAGAGAACAAATCTTGGACACATTGGAAAAACTTAGCCAACCTATATAGGGAAAGGAACTTACATTTATTTTTCTTATGCCAGTGAGACTACCCCTAGGAAAATTAACTTTTTATTAGCTTCTTTCATCCCTAGAGTCCAAGTGCATAATTAACAGTACTTCCAGGTATTTTTCATTTGGAAGAACTTTTATTGTTAAGAGAACTAATCACTTAAAGTTAGTGATGGACGGTCCCATACACCCAAGAATTTTACTCCTTTCCTATGTTACCCCAGGCTCTGTTTATATCACTGTGGTAACACTGAACTTGTTGTTCTTTGATTGTTTTAAGTGTCTTTCTGCCCCAACAGACTGGGCTCCTTAAAAGCTCCCTGTCTATATTTCTCTCTCCAGTCCTAACACAGTAATTGATTTATAATAGCTATTCAATAAATGTTGAATGGATAAATGAAACCAAACGTACATGACAGTTTTTTTAAAGAATGATTCAAGGAACGTGTAAGAGGGAGTAATTCTGTTTTGGGAATCAAGGAAGGCTTCACAGAAGAGTTGCCATTTGAGCTGGGTCTTGAGGAGTTGAAGTTCCTCAGACTGACAAGGGCAGGAAAGAGGCATTCCAAACCAAGGGAATGTGTTTCCAGGCTTAAGGATATGGAAGAGCTTGACATGTTGAGATTTCATGTGACTGAATGATAGGAGTTATGATCAAAGGTGAGGCTGGAGGGGGTTGAGGGCTAAATCGTGAATGACATCAAGCCAAGGAGTCAGGTCTTAGGCAATGAGGGGCAAAGGGAGATTGGTGAGCAGGGAAGTAATTGTGCATTTTAGATAGATTAGGGATTGATCAGAAGGCTTTTTTTTTTAATTGAGATAAAATTCACCACTGTAACCATTTTAAGTGTACAAATAAGTGGCTTTTAGTATATTCACAATGTTCTACAACTACCACCACTATCTAAAAGTTACAGAACCTTTTCATTACACTAAAAAGTTGAAGGCTATTTTGACAGCTGTCCCTGTATAGTCTGGTTATAAGGGATGAAAAGGAAAAGATGAAAATTTGAAAGACGTTCTAAGATAGGCTCAACAGAACTAGAATAAGATGTTAGATTTAGTTACCTTTGTGAAAACATCTTCAAAATACTGATTCTAGTTCTTTGCCACCTTATTTGCCATTTTCCTTACTCTTATTTACTGTTGCAATAGCTTTATTATTTCTTCATTTTTTCCTAATTTTGTATGACTTTTGTACTTCACTTTTATGTTTGTGCTGCATTAATTCAAGATGGATTCTTTGTGAAAGTATGAAGACTAAAGGGCTTTGCCAGGAGAATTCACCCATATACTGGGATTCAAGAAATCACATGCAAATGGATGTTTCTTTGTAATTGTAAAACAGCCAGTTTCATAATGATGTATACTGAATGCTGAAGAACTCTTTTTCATTTATAAGATTTGAGGCAACCTATATCAGTGAGATTGACTAGTAGAGAGTGTGAGGGAAACTTTCTCTGGTGGTAGAAATATTCTATATCTTGATTGGGGTGTTGGTTACTCTGGGTATACTTTTGTTAAAACTAATCAAATTAT